AAATAAAATAAAATTTATAGCTAGTTTTATGGGGGCTCCTGTTTGTCTACCAAACATTTCATTCCTTGAGCAGGCAACACGTCATCTTGACTGGCCTTTAAATTTTACTTTTACTGACTTATATACATATACATGTATGTATATATATTGATGTATGTGCCAGGTTGCGGTAACCTTTTGCATTTGATATATATAGTCTATGAGTTAGATTTAAGTTTCAACTACATTTCACTCAGGCGACTTTTGGCGAATAATGCCAGAGTAATGCCAGCAAATCGCGTGCTATTTGAACGTTAAGCTCTTAGCCCTGCTTCATGTGATTTTGACCCCGTTAGCGTTAGAGGCTTTAACAATTTAGCTTTTGACGTGTGCAATGATTAATCAATAATTTGTTGCTAAGAGTAGAAATGAAACATCGTTGTTTATAAAAGGAATGTTATGTAAATATAAAAAGAACTTACAAAACAAAATTGTGATTCCTTTCTTGAATTCTTTTTCTTGAATTCTTTTGTGATTCCTTTCTTGAATTCTTTTTCGTGATAAAAAATTCTTTACTCAACAAAAGAATAAGTATATAATATTCCATTATATAAATGTATATACATATATTGCGTAAAGATTTATATACATAATTGCAATGTTGATTCATAATTGCGCGAAACTCGGTAAATTTTCTCTCTCTCTCTCTCTCTCTCTGTTTTATCTCTCCCTTCTCATTTGTGTAGTAAAAACAATAATACGTCAAAAAAATACGAAAATTATAAGTAAAATTCCGAGACGTCATTCCATAAATTTACCTACAATAAATATTTGTATTGTTTGCTTCTTTTGCTGATAATCAAATATTTTTGCTTATTCATGTCCATAAGCAAGTACAGCTGCTGCTGCCTGCCAATGGTTGGTAAATAATTTATCAACTGGCTTGCTGGGGGCTTTTACAATTCAATTGCATTGTCATATATAGTTTTTATGATGTGCCACAGTCGCATTGACTCTTTATCCACTCGTGTTCATATTTATTTTAAAGGTCTTTGCCTTTTGAGGAGCCGCTGCACACGACAGCCGCTAGGGGGCGCTATAGTGTTAATGTGCATTTTAATTGTTGCTAACTAGCATTATAATTT